GTGCAGAGGAGGTTATGCTTCTTTTGTAAGTGAGAGGAACTCAGTCTGGTTTGGAAGCTTGGGCTTTCACTGGCCTGAGATATATGCCTTTTACAACATGGAAAACAAACGTTCCTAAAAGCAATAACATTACTTGACATTTTTGTAGCCCTTTTCATCTTCAAAGCAATTTGTAGACATTAAAGAATAAGCTGTCAGCCCTTCCCAGATAAGAATCATTGCCTAAGCGCTTAGTACAACCCTGTCCTGTTCCTCAGACCTAAACAATGAGCCCTGCTTATAAACTGTGGCTGAACAAAATGACTTCTTAAGAGAAGAAAACGGAGGGAAAGTGGGGGAATGAACTCAGCTGGAAGGAAGAAAAAAAGGCGACCTGCAATTTATCTAGTACATATTGTGAGTCTGGGGTGACAGTTTGGAGAACACTGGGGCTTCAGCCTGGCTGTGCGCCTGTTGCCCAGGCTGGAGTGCAGTGGCGTGAGCTCAGCTCACTGCAACCTCTATCCCGCAAGTTCAAGCAATTCCCCTGCCTCAGTCACCTGAGTAGCTGGGATTACAGGCGTGCACCAACATGCCTGGCTAATTTTTTGTATTTTTAGTAGAGGCAGAGTTTCACCATGTTGGCCAGGCTAGTCTCAAACTCCTGACCTCAGGTGATCCACCCACCTTGGCCTCCCAAAATGCTGGGATTATAGGCGTGAACCACCGCACCAGGCCTCTTCCTTTCTTTCCTTTTTATTTATTTATTTTTTGGAGGTCGGGGTGCAGTGGTGAGATCATAGCTCCCTGCAGCCTTGAACCCCTGGGCTCAAGTGATCCTCCTGCCTCAGCCTCCTGTGTAGTTAGGGCTACAGGCATGCACCAGCACGTCTGGCTAATTTGTCTTTTGAAAAAGAATGTTTTTTAGAGACAGGGTCTTACTATGTTGCCACTATCATTTTATTTTGGTTTTCTTGATTAAAAAAAAAAAAAGACACACCTGAATGCATTCTCTCTTTAGGTCACTTATGCCAGGCTTATTGCCTAACCCCATAACTTTTAGCTATTTTTTTCACTACATTTTTGTTACAATGTCTTAGATTTTCTGTTCTTCAATCATCCTTTTTTTTCTTTTTCTTTATTGAAGACGCGAATCTTCTGCCTCTTTCATTCAGGGCGCACAACATCTTATCCCTGCAACCTCTGCCTCCCAGGTTCAAACCGTGATGCCTGCTCAGCCTCCCAAATAGTGGGGACTACAGGTGCACCACACCCATGGCTAATGTTTTTGTATTTTTGGATTAAGACAGATGGGGGGTTTCACCATGTTCCCCAGGCTTGGTCTTGAGACTCCTGACCTCCAAGCAATTACTAACCGCGACCACCGGTTTCCCCACAGTGCTGGGAATCTACAAGCATGGACGGCCACGCACCGGCCCTAGTCCCTCAAGCACCTTTTTTTTTTGCGAAGACAGAGTTTCCGGTCTGTCACCGAGGCTGGGCGCAGTCCGGTGCCTCATCTCACTCACATGCCAACCTCTGTCTCCTGGGTTCAAAGCAATTCGCCCCTGCCTCGAAGCCTCCCGGAGTAGCTGGGATACACACATGCACCACCCGTGCCACGGTTAGGATTTTTTGTAATTTCACTAGAGACCATGGGTTTTGCCATGTTGAGCCAGAGTGGTCCTCGATCTCCTGACCCTTGTGATCGCCTGCCTTCGCCTCTCCACAAGTGCTGGGATTAACACGGCGTGGCAGGCCGCGTGCTCCGACCCGTATCTTTTCTAAGGTGTATACATACCTGCACCTGTGTGTGAGTGGTAAAGTTTACTGGATTTATTCCTTTTCCTTAGCAGTGAGCCAGGGAACAACATGTGAATACAAACAAGGTTTTAATCCTCAGCTA